GAGCCAGAGCTTCATTCTAGACAAGCCATCATAGAAGTAGAATTGCTGCCGGAGGAGGGGTTGTGGAAGGTTAAGTTTTATACAAAACCAAAGAAAAATAAACCTTTCGTACAAATAAATAACAAAATTCATGCAGCAGACAATTATGTTATTTATCTACAATAGTCAACAATACAAAGAAATAGATATAAAAGGTTTCTTGGTCAAAAGCTTACTACACATTTGGAACATCTGTCCCCCTGTCTCAAGAGTTATCAAATACACAGAAACTAAGCGTAAAGCTTTCTGGCTTTCAAGAGCTGCCATGATCATAAAACTGAAGAAAAAACCGCTCAAAACCAAAACTATTGAGTCTGTTCTCCAGAACAGATACTTGAATAAAACAAAGACTTATGAAAAAAAAAAATTATGCTCCACCACCAAGCATATTTGCTATAGGGAGCATTGGGACAAAAAAAGAATGCAGCAGATGTTGAAGTCCTTTCTTACATTACCTGCATGATTTGGAAAAATCTGTCTGTGGGAGGAGTGAGGTCAGCTTGCAGATACTGTTTAAGGAAACTGAAAGGGGGGGGAATCTCATCGATGCGATCATTTTGTATTAACTGTACTGCAAATGACCAAGGACAATGCTCCTGAAGATGAAAGACAAACTCCTTCACCAGAGAGTGTCCTGAAGCCTGGACATCTTCAGGAAATAATTATACCCCTGGGTTTTAACTCCAACCCCAACATTCTCAGTTGGCATTTCTCTGAGGGAGCGGGAGGCTCTCATGAAGATACTTCATGGTCCCGTGCTCTGAGAAGTCAGAAACAACATGATTGTCCCCCCTCAGCAACCACTTGGTAGTTAAGAGTCCTTCGATTCCCACTGGTCCACGTGCGTGGATACGAGAAGTACTAATTCCCACTTCAGCACCTGCAGGAAACACCCAAAATAAAAGTAGTTAATCTCCTGATGACGTTCACTTCATACTAAGCAGTTTTACACCTTTATGTCAAAAAGCCGCCTGCCTTTCAGTGACCTGCCATTATCTGCTCCTCTCCAAATGCCAGAAGTTCTGTTTACCCAATATAAAAGTTAGAGGAGGTTAACTATTTCATTATAAATTGTAATGTTTATACTTCTGGCTGCTACAGAGTTACTTTCAGAAAGAAAGATGCAAGAGAGAGAGGTATCTCTTACATGGAACTTAGTCTTGTTTCCTGAGAGTTTAATCCTTTGAAACAAAAAGACAATAGCTAAATTGGTCAAGATTATGAACTTACATCTTTTTTTTACCACACTGAGGAGATATTGCAAGATCTTAACTAAAATTTTTGAATCACATGGAACACTGAATGTTCCAGATAACAGATTAACAGCCTGCAGTGGAGACTTCAGACTTTCTGTCTCAGGAAAGAATGTTTCTCTTGTGTTCTGCAACTCAGAGAAGTGCACCTGTTTATTTAAGCAACTCATCCTCAGTTTGCTTCCTGCCCTTCATTCCTCAACACTGCAGGGCTGGCACACTGGACAGCAGCTCAGTCTGCCCAGCAGGACCGAAATGTGTCATTCTTTACAGCATCATTGGGAAGAGAAACAAAAGGAAAACTGTTTACTAGTTTCACATCCTGGGTTGCACTGTTCTGTCACCATATGCATGCAGCACACTTTACTCTGATTGAACAGAGCTTCAAAGGATTCAAACCAGCTCTGTGTGTCTAGGCTTCAGCTTTCGTACAGAACCTTTCCTGAAAACCTCTTACTAGACACTAAGATAAGAGACTAATCCTACCTTCCAGGGCTCGTACTGCCACACTTTTCACACACTCCAGCAAATTATGCAGTTGCATCCCTGCAATATTTTCTCTCTTACCAAGTCCAAATCTGTAGCCATCAGAGAATCGGGTACTGGCATTCCAGAAAACACAAGCGCTGTCGACGTGCTGGAGGAAGAACTCTGCTGTTTCCTCTGGGAAAGTGGCAGAGACAAAAAAAAAATCCATTACCTAGAGAATGGTCATGCACTCCAATAAATACAACACAAACCAGTGAACAGACGTAACAATACAACTTTCATGTGCAACCTTATCAGACAGTATTTAAACAGCCTGGGCTAAGCCATGCTCATTTATACCTCCTTCCCTGTATGCTTACCAAGTAGACACAACTGCAAATGTTAAAAGAAGCTTGTGAAGACTAGAAGAAAGCAAAAAAATCTCTAATTCTAAATCATCCAGCCTAGAACTTTCAAAGAGGGATTTAGTTGTACAACTAGGGAGAAAAAACAGCTGCCCCAAACCACGTCTGTCAGTCAAACTGTTAAACTAGAGTCAGGTCTCCATTAGTCTAAAACATGGAATTGTTCTAGATAATGAAAAATCCTAAACTCAATTGCTATTGTAGGTAATATTTGGGAACCACAGCATAGAAATACTACATGCAAGTCTGTGAACTGCAGGTCAGTTGCCCTTAGTGACAAGACAAACATTTAGGATCAGCTCTATTTCCAGTACAGTCCCTACAAATCACCGGTGCACCAGCTCTCGTGGCAGTGGGTTATATGGTATCAAACACATGCCTTTTAGTGACACTCATTTAAGCTCAGCAGGAGGTTCAGGAACAGAAGCCTGCTTGACTCACACACTGTTCAGATGCAGATCAACGTGACCTTACACAGCTGATTTTCAGGAGTTCTGGGCTTGGTTTGGTTGGAGAGTCTCAGCACAGCCCTAGTTAGGTTTTGAACTGGCACAGACCCGAGAGAAGAACTACTACAATGTAATTAGTTACACTAAAATCAGGAATTGGCAGTCGAACCAAAACAGCAGCTTAAGGAAGGAGCCTGGTCACTAACCATTCTCTGTGATAATAACATCCGTGTGAGAACTTCCATACTTGTGGATATGTTCAACGGCCTCGTGAACGCTGTCCACCACCTCAATGCAGCACTCCAGGTCCCCGTACTCCGTGCGCAGAGATTTCACTTCTGAAGGGCTGAATGTCAGGTAAGATGCAAACTTTGGGCCAGCGTGAATCTTCACCTGCAATACCAGAAACATTCTGTGCTACTGACCACAACAGAGCCTTCCAGGTGAAAAGTGTAGCTTCTTGTGCTCTGTGTGGGATGGACGGCTACCTTTACTGAAAACCACTGCTCATGGCTAGACAACTCATTAGTATACTGGCCTTTTGATGTTCCTTGGACACACTAGAAGGGAAAATGGATGTGAATAAAGGGCGTGCAAGAGGAAAATTTAAAAAAACCGACATGGATGGAGCAAATTCAGAAAGGATAAAAGCAGGAAGTGAATTCACCTGGGCAAGAAGCTAAAGGAACAGATTTAAGAAGAAGCAGCTTTGCATCCGGGAGGTTAACAACAATTCAGTCAGAATTTGAAAGGGTTGTGTATATATGCTCTTCTAAGGCAGAAGATTATTTTTGCTATATACAATAAGTATTTGTAGCCCAGTAACAGCCTGTAGCTGTCCTGAACAAGCTGCTTTCAGACAATTTCTACAGAAAAACTTGATGTTGTGTGGAGAAGCAAAGTTCTCCCTAAGTTCATTTACGTGTACAAAGACACTTATGGCTACTAAAGTGTTATGCCATCATAAAACTAAACAAGGCTACACCTGTCAAACCAAATGCTTCTAAAGTTGTTAGAAAAAACCAAACCAAAACACAAGTATGAGTGACTAACCTGTTCTACTCTCAACATGTCTATGATCTGATCAAACAACGGGGTTCTCAGCAAGTCGCGATGGATCAGGAGAGTTTCCAGAGCGTTACAGGCAGCAGGATATTCACACTTTGAGTCTCTGACTGAAGTTTTAAGAGTAGATAATTGGTTACATAACATTCATGACAAGGATTTTGAACAGCACATGCATAATAAATTACCATAATTACAATGCATACTCCAGACCCGAAGTTGAATTACACGCATGAGGTTTAAGTCACCCTCTCACAGCTTACTTATCCGTGTGACCTTCTCAACGCTGGCATCCGTGTCCACGTACACGTGGCAGATCCCTTCGCTGTGCCCCATCACTGGGATTCCCTTGGCAGCTTTCTGGATATTCCTGACCAGCTGCGATGAACCACGTGGAATGATCAGATCTATCAGCTTATCCAAACGGCAGAGATCTTCTACTTCCTCTCTCGTGTTCACCTGGGGTAGTTGCAATACCGACAGTTTACAATTTGAACTTTCAAGTTTTGCTTACACTTTTTATACATACCATAGCAAAGGAATAGTGGACTGAACTCCAAGCACTTACCAGCTGCACTGCATCTTTGACTCCGTGAATGGAGAGGGCTTCTTGTGTCAGATGATGGAGGATTTGATTGCTGTGTGCTGCCTCTTTCCCTCCTTTAAGTAGTAAGCCATTTCCACTGGCTATGGCCAAAGCAGACACCTGTCAAAAGCATTTATTGAACGGAAAAAAAAAAAGTCCCTAAATGTAATCTGGTTCTTCTGTCAGAATGACACTCACAAAATAAAAACGGGATTTTTAGTGCTGTTGATTTACTCAATATTAATCTCCCGAAAAAACAACAACAAAAAACCCCAGGCCTGATTAAATGAGCACTGCAGAAACAAGTTCTGAAAATATCTCTGCAGAAAAAACAGGGATGCCAACAAAATCAATTGCAGAAGAATCTAAGCAAGAGTCCTTTGAAAGACTTCTTGCAGTCTCTCAGTTGCTCGCCAACAGAAATACCCTTTCTTCCATCACCAAAGAATTCCCAGCAGTGTATTCTGCCCCCCTTACACACCTGTGGAAGACAGTCTGGACGAGACTCAAAGATGACGAGGAGGACCCCGATGGGCACTGTCACCTGCTCCAGGTGCAGGGCCTTTGCTATGCGTGTCCTGCGGAGCACGCGGCCCACGCTGTCCTGCGAGGACACCGCGATCTGGCGCAGCCCGATGGCCAGGCTGTTCAGCTTCGACGTGGACAGGCTCAGGCGCTTCAACAAAGGAAGAGCCAGCCTCCCTAGAAGAAAGAAAAAGTTGTGCTGGAAATCTCTGCTGGTCTGCCTAGGCTCAAGCAAAAGTGACTTAAGCAAGTGCTGAGCCTCAGGAAAATTCAGGTGTTTCCCACACTGCAGCACGTAACGTCCCTGAGATGGAAAAGGCACAGCATTAAGTTTGGTAGTCACAATAAAACCACTCAAATATGACTGTGATTTCGCCCCCCTATTTTTACTTAATGCAGTTTAAGTGCTTTGTACATGAAGCAACAGCAACATCTACAAAGACAAAGTTTGTCCTATCTCAAGTACTGCCGTATGTCTGAATTTTTTACAGATTTCTAACCCTGCAGTATTTCTGGAAGGTCCAGGCAGTAATTTAATCTGTTTTACAAACAGAAATGCCAGAGCAGAGACATATTCACAGCACTGCTGTGAGACTGGGCAAGAACTTTTTAGCCTGAGCACATTCAGACACTAAGTTAAACCAGCAACGTCTCCTCAAATACTCTGGGAAGTTAGAAATGGTTCCCTGGTACCTTCCACAGATTATTACAATTCATGATGTGCTCTTTTCATCTATTTGCTATGCCAGTGTGTACACGTCTCAATTCCAGCTTCTCAATGAATGCATCCATCTAACACATAAGAATGGGTTTAATCCAAGCCACCTAAAGAGAACCTTCCTCAATTAGAAGGGGATACAGTTCTCTTTGGAGAACATCAATTTAAGTGTAGAGATGACAGCCTTCCCCTCAGGAGCCAAACATTACCTTAACCAGCCTATAAAATATTCACTCTATGCATGACAGTAACAGAGATGATATTTGTTCTTTCTTTTTATAATACATCACTTGGTATTTTGCAGGGCCTCAGTATCTTCTCTGATGAAGGCAACTGTTTCATGTAATGAAGGAAGCTGCAGCTGCTTATACTGACAAGCTCTCAAAGCCCTAGGTTCACTAATTTGTGCCAGCCATAGTACCCAATCCCAGGTAATAGAAGATTCTAGTTCTCTTTTGTCTTGAGGCCGAGAGAGGTTCAAGATGATATTATTACCATAGAAAGATCTGAAATATTACCTTTATTTTCAGCCTCTTCTAAGTCCTTTTTGTTTGCCAAGAGAATTTCTTCTCTCTGGTCAGTTAGTAAGTCAGCAAGACGAAAAATAATCTCCGCTCTCTGAAAGAGAAAACAGTTTCTGAACTGACCTCTCACACGAAGTCTCAGCCATTTGACATCTGGGCCCTATGCTCCATGACACATCCTCACTGTTAACTCTCCCAGTACTTGGCCAGCTGACTTCTCCAGCCTGCATCATATTGAAAAATAAGGCTGAACACTGCTTCAACCTTTATTTTGCTTGCTATTATCTTGTTTCCGTGCCAGGTGTTCTTCACCAAACTCACATATTCTTCCTTTAGGAGCACCTCGTGCCACATCTTGCCTGCCCAGCTGCAGAGCAGTGATTGCCTACAACTCTGCTTTTGCATACATGTTGTATGTTGAACTCCACACAGGAGTGAATGGAACAAGTTGCTCCAGTCAGTCCTTCAGCAGCTCTGACCACAATTCATTTCTCTGTGCTATTTGACACTATCAGGAATTTTATAAACCCCACATGAAAGCATATTTTACTCCACAGCCCCAAGGTACATGATCTTTTTGCTTTTCTCATTTCTGAGCATGCTACAATACAAATGACAGATCTGGCACACAAAGAATAGATTCTTGTCCCAAGGAGCCCATTTCTGTTATAAATCCGTGTTGTAAAACTTGCCACACATGCACAGTCTTAACAAGTAGCTACTATATTGTTCTGTCACCTGCTCAGGCTGTAGAGCTGCCAGGGTCCTGCCACCAGCTCGAGCCATCTCAGCCTGCTGTTCTACTGTCGGGCCTGCAAAAAAACCCAAAACCATGCCACACAGACAAAGTAACAGCATAGGCAGAAGTGAACACCAGGCCTTCCATCTTCCCATTCTTTGCTCAGATCAGGAAAGCAGGTAAAGAGTCTTAAACGGAAATTTCAAGAAAAAAGTTACGTGCTAAAACAGAAAAATCTGTACCTGACATAAAAGTGCTGCTGTGGTCCCTATGCAAAGTCACCACAGAGATGTGGTGAGTGTGCACCATGTATCAAAAAGACTGGACAAAGGACAAAAGAACAGCAGGATATGTCTATTCATAGCAGGCTTCTGAAAGAAAGGAGCCAAACTTCGAAAAGTTTAAGTATCCAGCTGAGGAATGTATGCACGGGAACATATGAAAAATAATGGGAGCCAAAGCCCAATTCTGTAACAGCTCACAGAAAAACTGCTTTCCCTCTGTCTCTCCTTGTATGCATTTTAGAATAAAGGTGCTCAAAATGATATGAAGCAGGTAATTCATGTTTCTGTTTCAAAACAAGTCATCATGTTCAGGCAGCGTTTCCCCCAAGAGTTCACAAGTAACTCATGGATAAAATAAGTTGTTATTTTTAACTCCCCTGAAATCTCCTGTAAACCAGATGACTTGAAGGTGCTAAATACTACCCAACTTCTGTTTTAAGAAGGGTCCCATGGAAATAGCCAGAGTAGGAACTCCAATGTTATGGAACATATAAAGAGGTGTAGTGGCAACTGGAAGAAAAGGACTTGCAGACACATGATTAATTAGACTTACTTAAGACGTGTTGAAACATCTTTTTCAAGTGATATCATACTTTAGAAAGTATGGCATCTTTTGGTGTTCTTTGAGAAAAGTGATATGTATGTAAGCAGATATAATTGATTTCTAAAAGTTACTTGAATTTCCAAAGTGTGTTTCTTGGAATATGGAAGACAGAGAGAAGATTGGAGTAAACACCACAACAGTCCACAGGGACTTTTGCTGTTTGCTGTGTTTGTAAGACACTCAGAGTGGGATCACAAGATTAAAAGCTTTACTGCTGATATAAATTTATTATAATGGGACTGACCAAAAAGGCTCTTGACCATACTGACACAGAGTGGGTTCAAAGGATAATCTGACACATTCATACAAGAAATCCATTAAGGATTACACATGAAGAAATTCACATGGCTTGAAGTGCCAGTCAAAAGTATCACTCCACACTTACCCTATTCTGCAAAGGTCACAAGGGGAACAAAAGCAGGGAATTCAACATTTTCTATCCTTACTCTAGAAAATAGCTTTCAAAATCCATTTTTCATGCAGAGTGTGGTTTCCCAGTTATTGCACGGGTCTAGACAAATTTTAACTCTAACTTTTCAGGAAATCTCTACAACTCTCAATGTACACATTACCTTTGTACTCACCTGCAGGTTTTACCTCTGAAAAAAAAGTTCCAACTTTTTTCCCTTCCACAATATCTGTGATGACATGACCTGAGATCTTTGGGTGGGTTCCATTTGCAATCACTACAGAGGTGCCTCCTTGGAGGGCCCACAGAGCTGCTTTCACCTACAGCAAAGGATAGAGCCAGTTCCAATAAATGCACTTGTGTTATTTGAGTCACCACACACAACAAGCCTTCTGGGCCCACTCTGACCTCCAGACTGATCACTTGTGCTTTCAAAGAGCATTCAACACACTTTAGGAATTTCCATAACGTAGCACTGAGTGAGATCATGTATTTGCACTTTACCTTCCCTTCCTTAACCAGCTGCCCCTTTATAAGCATACTTCAAATTTTCCTAACAGTTTACTTTTTTCAAGACTTCTGCAAGGGCCCATTGGTCATATGTTCTTTCTCATCATTACCTTATGCTGAAAGTTCTTATTACTCTTCGAAGAAATCCAATTTTCTTTTTTGAAAATATTCTGTTGCCATTTTTTCTGACGTTGATCAGGTACCATGGATTAGCTTAATCCACTTTAAGTGACCACATGATATTTCTTGCACTGCGGAGCACTGTTCTTGCTCAGGTGCTGGCCATTACTATATAATATTAAAATATTATTCAATACCATTAGCTGTCTGCATTACTCCCTTAATGTCTGATCAGTCTAAGCACTCCTGGCTGCTCTGACCAAGATGCAGAGGTATTGTCATGGCTTATAAACCTCTGGTGAAGCTATGAAGTTTGCTGAAGGGTTACTTGGTTTCCACACAAAGTTTTTACCTACCCTTTTCCTATTCAGCTTCTTATTGGATTTTTTTACTTATTTGATTCAACAAAAACATCCTTCCCAAAAACAAAACAAATGTTCCATATTTCTACCTTGGCTTCCATGCCACCCATTCCCACTCGGGATTTGGTTCCAAATGTTACAGACTGCTGGTCGCCTGGGTAGAATATGTCAATGAGCTTTGCATCATCAGATCCTGGAGGGCTGTTAAAGAGTCCTGAAATAAACAATAAAAATCAGTTATATACACTCATGTCCAAAGCTCAGGCGTGAAAAAAATAAAACAAATAAAACAAACCAAGCAACATGGGGCTAAAAAGCTGTATTCCACTTTAAAGGATTGAAAACTTCCACTGAATCCTGCTTTCTGAGCACAAAACACTTCACAGGCAGTCTCGAGTACAGATTTACTGAAAGCCTAACAAATAAGAAGGGAAAACCCCACATGCTGAACAGCAGCATGCAAGCTGGGACGTAGTGATATTTGGCTGGGGTTAGAGACAGCTGACAGCTTTTATATGTTCAACATCAGGCCTTACATACACAAGCCCCAACCGAAAAGACAAAGGACAATACTCCTCACCAAAGCCTCAGATGATATTCTTGAATGCTGGGTTGTACAGTGAGAAACTGGGCAATTCAGAAACATGTAAAAAGGGTTCAGAATTCTGCTAAGAAGGAACACAACACTACAGAGACATACTCTACTAATATTTTTAAAAATCAAATAACTTTATGTAACTATGTTTGGAGTTGGATGACACTTTAGTTTACCTAACACATTAAATTTGAACTCTTGAATCACACTTCCCAGAAATTCTATGTGAACAAATAATGCCATCACAAATTAGAGGGCACAAGTGCAGACTATCTGTGTCCATTCCTGACAGCTTGGGAAGGAGAGGACACATATCTTTCCATAAACAAAATGTCACACTGAATGAATAAGCCTGCAGGGTGGGTGTGCTGAGTGTTAACTTTTTTTACAAGCTGTTTTGACTATTGCTTTTATAAGTTATTCTCAGACGGTCATTTCAACTAGAACCAACCATGAAACCTGGTTGAATCTGCTAAAAGAAACTGTATTTATGGAAAGACACCACCTCCTTCCTCAAGGCCTAAAGTATGTGTTGAAGACCAGGATCCACTGAAAGAAACCAATCTGGAGAAGATGAAAAGGCTGTGACTTGGGTGATGTGGCCTGCACTGATGTGAAACTGCACCCACTACCCTCCTCTGTCTAGAAAACAAAGTTCAGCATCCATGGGTAACAGGCTTATGCCACAAAAGCAGAGCTCAGAAGACTTGAGCAGTTTAAGCCAAAAGTCTGGGAGAGAAAAAGCTTGGAAGATCGAAGTATATGGAAAGCAATGACCAGGACTTCTGCTGATAATTCACTGAAACAGTACCTGCTGCCAGAAGAAAAAAGCTATTGTAGAATAGTATTCGGTTTATAATCCTTATTCTAGACACAGCCTTTATCCTGCAGGGTGCTCCTGACTATCATACAACTCTAGAAGCTGACAGAAGTACCACAGTACATGTGGTATTCTGGGTTCTGAACAGGTCTTAGGTTCACAGGCATTCTCATCCACCCACATTCAACAGTGTGACCTTTGGCTTATTATTATTATTATTATTAATAATTGTCTGGCTTGTTCCACAGCATCAGCAGGGGGTACAGGCCTGAAGGAGTTAAGGAGTATGTTGCAATTGTCCACACAAAAGGGATGAGCTGAAGAGATCAGTAAAACGTGAAAAGAGGTTGGTTTGACAATCCACTGTAAAACTTCATTAAAACTAAAAAGAAATTAAAGAAATTACTCACAAACCTTCTACGTCTGAGAGAACAATCAGGAGATCAGTTTTCATTTCCACAGCCAGTCGTGCTGCCAGACTGTCGTTGTCCTTCACACTGATCACCTGCAATGCACGTGCACATCAGCAGCACTGGGGAGCGGGAGGAGCTAAGAAATGTTTGGTGGCAACACACAAAAGCAAGTTACCTCAGCACTAACAAGGCCTCCTGGGCTACTTTGTTCACACCCACCGCAACTTCGAAGGTGATCTTTGTGTGGGAGCACATCTGCTTTTGGAATGCAGTACAGCAATACCAAAATGGCATCAGTACCTGCATTCTCTACCTCGGTGCCCAGGGACAGGGCAAGGGGCACTACCTGACCCTGCTTTAAGCAGGGGTGCTGGACTAGATGACCTGCACAAGTCCCCTCCAACTTCAACTATTCTGTAAAAAAACAAATTAGGCATGCTTGGTTTTGTCAGAGCAGACATTATCTGCCCTGCTTTCACCCCACAACAAAGTATCACAACAGACACAGACAAGTCAGTACAGTCTTCCAGTGCCTTCTGTCCACACTAATTGTGGATGTGTGTTTCCCTGCTCTAGGCTCCAGAGGTCCCCAGTTATGGCAACAGTCAAGTACACATCAGAGCTGTACCATCTGCAAGCAGGAGCCACCCCCTTGCAATACTTTACCCACATTTACCCCCTGCAGATCACTGTTTGGCTCTGGAGGTGGAACAACAGCATCATTGGTGTTAATTATAGGGACAATATTCATCCTTAAAAGCTCATGTAATGTTCCGTTTAAGTTGCGACGCTTCTGTTCATCATGGAAATCCAGGTTGGTGACTAAAATCTAAGAGGAAGAAAAAAAATACTTAGCCTACCACCTTTTCTGAGAACAGAATCATAAGCTTACGTATTAACATGTCATAACAGAGCAGTCATGCCTTTTGGGTCATTAAAGAAACAGGAACTACATTTCAAGGATACAGAATACAAGTGAGAAATATTCTTCCCACATTATAGGTTTACATGCCTTAACTTCCACTGGAGCCTACAACAGCCTTTCTCAAGCTGACAGGTCACACACTCCAGGAGCAAATTTGGAAAAATAAAACCATAATCAGAACACAGATGCTGATGGTGACTACTCAGACCTAAACAATTCAATGGACTACTCAAGACATTGCCTTTCCTGATTTTCCTCACAGTTTCATGTTCCTACCTGCAGCAAGCAGAAGGGATGCTTTATCTCCAGACTTCTCTTCAGCTCACTAGAACTCACTTGCTTTTCTGAAAGAATTTTGTCATTAAAGCCTCCTGCATGCAGATACCATCCCTCTCTTTTTGGTATTTTAAGACCAAAAAAATCTCAATGTCTGCTCTGGAGAGACTGTTTTTTTTATTTTTACTCTGTAATTGGATATTTGAGAACTAAGTAAACAACTCCAGCACACAAATGTTACAATAGCACGTCGAATCCGTGTGTGCCCTGACCTTTTTGGCAGAGACAATGAATTCATTTATATCAAAGGAATGACAGTTGTCTGTGGACTTTAACAAGATTCTAATCCAGCACGACCTATAGTGATTTTTAGCTATACGTAAACATTTTAGCCATATCAGCTCTGCCATATTACAGGAAGAACTTCCTCCAAGAAAGACGTCATACTAGGCTCCTTAACTCATTAAAAGTGTCTAAACAAGTAAGGCCTTACAGTTAATGCAATTCTGTATTCTCAGAGTATTTAAGATAAGAAAAAAAGCCTGTTTAAGAGTACTTCAAGTGACAGAGTTGCAGCCTTCAGCATAAGACGAGGGAAACATCATCCACAAGCTAGAAAGGTCTGAGGAGCAGATGGGCGGAAAGTTCTGAACTGTGGATATGCACTTCCACCAGCTTTACAGAATGCGTGGCAATTTAACCACTTGTGATTTTTAAACCCTCACTTTGGTCCACCATTGAGCTTTTGTGAAGAGATCTTAACAGACTCTCCCTGCTATATAAGAGCAGGATGCACCTGAACTTCAGAAGGAAAAAGTATATTTGCTTTTATCTTGATGATGGATAACTCCATGTCAGAAATACTTAGCAAGGCACTCCTGGATAAGGTACCATTTATATGAAAATAATAAGCCCCCAAAGTAGCATGTCAGTCTAGGAAGGAGGGAATGCCTTACCTGAGCTGCACAGATGCTGTACTGTGTGAACATGGCCTCGTACAGGGCCATGAGCCCACTCTGGCCTGCTGCTGCACAGGCTCGGGCCTCCAACACTGGAATAGCCTACAAAGACAAAGAGCAGCTGTCAGTGACTGGAGCAGGTACCACCCAACATTTAAGGAAAAGCACAAGTGCCACCAGGCTCTCACCATGTCTTTCAGCTGACTCTGGCCTGAATGAAGTGCTTGTCTCACACTCTGAGAAAGCAGGATCTCATGACGCAACCGCTGCTTTCCAAAGGCTACAGCACCACTGGTGACAATCATCATCTCTCGGCCCTGGTTTTGCAGCATTGAGACCTGTAGGTACAGAAAATAAGAAACAGGGCCTGGTGTACCCTCACTGCCAGCATGACAGTCCTGGCTGTTACAGACAACCTTATGCTCACCAGTTCTTGCTGACACAAGTGCTGAGCTTCATCCATGGATGCACGAAGTAAGGCAAACATCCTTTAAGATATTCCTGCACACCTTCCTACCCACTGAGGAGCTATGCCAAGGACTGTATGCCATCTACAGCTTCTGCTAAACTGCCTTTTCACAGTACCAGTTTTTATGACAGAATCATGCTTGAATCTTCAGAATACATATTACATGCTAACACTTCTACATCCCTCACCTCTCTACCACCATTGCTACAGATAAGGAAAGACATGAAATGTAAAGGAGCAGTTGAATCTTCCACCAATCTTCTTATTCCCCATCCACTCCCAAAGCTACCATCACACAGTAACTTTGAATTCTAGGAGTGAAGAGGCCAACTAAAAAAAACACTTTAGATTACTTCTTTCTTACATGTATCTGTCCAGATTCCTTTCAAAACCCTAAAGCTAAATGTCTTACGTGAATTTGATTTGTTAACTTTACTTCTCAGAGGAAACATGTCCAATCCTTGCCAAAGTAACTATTTCTTTTTGGAGAACAAATACACGAGTTGATCCCATCAGTTTTTCCTACAAGTAATGAGGTTTCAAGCTTTTCCCTGGAGGAACTCTGCAAATTCTCAGGTAATCAAGAAGGGTTGACTCTTTCTGAAGAGTTCACAAACTTCAGTACCACCTTCCCACCACAGCCAGCTAATGCCCCAGTCATGTCCTACCTATGGCATAAAAATCTCACTGTGCAAACCTCTCACACTACACTGGGTCTGGCCCAGATGGAGTTAACTTTCTTTATAGGGGTTTATGGTGCTGTGTTTTGGATTGCAGTTCTAAAACAGTTTTGCCTGTTGCTAAATAGTGTTGCACAGCATCAAAGCCTTCTCTTGCCCCCATGGTGACCAGCACTTGCACAGCATCAAGGCTTTCCTTTTTCCACTACGTCCCATCCCAGCAGGCAGGCAAGGTGCTGGGCACAAAGTTCAGAGAGGACACATTCAGGAGAGCTGACCTGAACCGGCCAAAGGGATACTTCAAACCATGTAATGTCATGCACAGCAATAAAACTGGGGTTGCACAACAGCAAAAGGCAGGGGGTTGTCTTCCAATGCGGCCACCACTCAAAGACCAGCTGGGCATGGTCTGCTAGTCTGATGTAGTGAGTGATTGCCTCAGAATCACTTGTTTCTTTTCCCCTCTCCTTCACTTATGAAACTGTCTTTATTTCAATCCATGAAATGGGTTACTTTTGCTCTTCCCATTTTTTTCCCAATCCCACTAATGGTGGGGCAGAGGTGTCGGGAGCAAACAAGAATCTGTGTGGATGCTTAGCTGGTGGTCAGGGTCAACCCACCACACCTTCAAACAACCACGTCTTGAGTTACCTGGTTTATGGAACCACAGCACAAGGGATTTAAAAAGCGGGTTTACTACAATCTTCTGTACCACTCAGCAATCCCTGAGCATCTGAAGTTAAACCAAACGTTCAGGCTCAGGATTACCTGCTCTACAATCGAAGCCAGCCTTCCAAGGGCCAAGCCACACTCATCCCCTCGGGTCACAACAGCACTACCCAGCTTCACCACGATCCTCTTGGCGTGCTTCAGCTCGCTCCGGTGCGCAAAGGGTTTTCCATGGGCACGGCTGAGCGGCACCGTGAGAAACGGAATGTTGCTCCAACAACGGAGGGATTCATTCCTTAACCTTTGGTTACGGTGAGGGAGGTCTGTGCAGAAAGAAAGAAAGAAAAAAGAAAAGCAGTTTTAAGTGTTTTGTTCAGACTTTAGGCTCCTGAAGTCATGCAACATTTCCTCCTTTTCCAAGGCTAAAGCTCACAACACACACTTCCAAGTGACTGGGAAAGAGAAATAGCTTTCAATTCACCAAAACACAGTGAGAACCAGTGCCATCTGAGCAGCACTAACCACCCCTAAGGTATAGAAAGCAATATCCCATGCATCACAGATCTCTGACCCTGGGAACCTAGAAGACCAAACTGAGGGACACTGTAAAAGAGCCCACACAGCTCACATCACAAGGATCAGTTTTAAAAACAACCTCCTTTGCCTTGCCTCATTAGATACAGTTATAGAGAGTTTTCCTGTCTGTAGTAGCAAAGAAAGCTTGACAGTTAGGAAAGAAAAGAAATACAGCCTTTACAACACCTCTGAGTCAGGTATTTTTGCACATTGCTTAAGTAGGGGCAGTTGAAGGGGGATGAACATACAAACTCAGTCATGTGGTGGTGTCCAAACCCTGGGACAGGAGACACAGCTGTGCCCCAAGCCTGGCAGGGTTCAGGAAGCCTTTGGACAATGCCCTCAGTAGTGTGCTTCAGCTGAGGCCTGCAGACCTGAGGCTTCAGGCAGTGGGACTAGATGACTTACAACTGAACTGTTTTATTCTAGTCAATCCTAATGAATATTTCATCTGAAGATGCAGAGACTTCTTTACAAATCAGTAAAACGAACCCTATGCCATGGTCAGTTACCTGATTTTATTTCATATGTTCACTATCTCTAATTTTGATGCTCTATAATACAAAATGCATTAATTTATAATCTAAACGTGACTGTTCTTGGTGCTGGAGAAAGACAGGAACGAACACCATGCTACATAAAAGAGAAACTTGTAATTTTAACAATGCTTTAATTAAATAAATCTTTTGTTCACTATACACATAGAAGCAGCTTAAATGATTGATCATAAACGAGGGCTGCATTAACATGTCACACAAATAAAAGCAGGAAACGCAATTTCGAGAGGAGTTTCATTTGCCTCTCATTTTCACCATGGAATACTTGTGAATGTAAATAAGGTCTGTAAAAAACTGGGTGAAGGAGTCCAGTTTAACTCTTCTTTCCAGCATTATACCTTATTATTTAGTATTTGCTTATCCTACACAGTATAACCAGAAAGGAGTAAAATTTATTTCCAATTCTCTCGGCTAGAGATTCAGGATTTAGAAGGTTCCAAGAAGGCAGCTGCTGAGGGTTATCCAGGATCTTAAAAGAAACCATTTATTTTTTTCAGAAAAACAAGGGAAAAGACAACAGTTCTAGAACAAGCAGAGAACTTAATTAATCTCTAATAAAGTCCTAACTGCTAATCTTGCTCTACTGCTGCATAAACCTGCCTTTTTTAGTTACTTTACACCTGACTGAGATGTGAAATCAGCTCCCACCTTACAAATGCCAAACACTTCTGGTGATGCAAGCCCATTAACTTGCTCTGTATGCAATTAGGAAGGAACTGACAGAGCCAACCAGTCCCTGTTTTAGACAAATAGATTTAAAGGCATCCAACTTTTTATATCTTGTACCTTGTCAACAGTTTCACTTCCTTAATAAAGAAGGGGAAACATATGAAACATACTCAAGTATTTGGCACCACAGATCCTTTTATGGAACTTGCATGAGGTTTACTTCTCAGGAGTAAAGAAGCAGAATTTCAAAAAACACCTGGGCTGAACAGAACAGAAGACAACAGTGGAGAATAAACAGAAAACAGTGGAGAACAAAGAAAAAATTGTGATAAATGATCACTCCAGCTTTAAATCACAACTGATGAAGTAACAAGAGTTGCTCCACTGTTGGATACTGTCAATACTTAGGAATAAACTCACAATTAATACTGTGAAAATTACTGACTTTGGAAAATGAGGGATTTTTAGAAATATTACAAATACAGAAGTCAACAGAGCTGTAGATCATAAAGAACAAGTTTAGCATTTTCAAGATTTCCACATTTAATTCATATAATTACTAATAAAAGAGAACTGTTAACACAGAGACCAATGGGAAATTAATCTTGCCTGCAAGGGTAAACAGCTAATCTCTTGATCTGATGGAGTCTGTCTATCTTTGCCTTTTCTATTTCAGACTACTCATGAAACAGACACTAAATGGTTCTCTCAGGTTAGACTTTCAGGGAAGAGATATTTACAGGGCATCTATATATTTACACTCAGGTTTCCTGCAAGCATCTTTCCACTTTTATCTATTCCAAATAAATTTCAGCTTTGTACCTTGCTTTACTCAAGACATCTGTGGGCTGAAAAGACAGATGGGGGAGCAGATATAATCAGATCTTGTTTTCTAGGAATGTATGAGGATGAAATAAAGAACTTTTACAGTAGCAGTACTTTCACTACTGATATTTTTTTTGCTTGAAATGCATGTCAGAATGAAAAAAAACACAAACTCAGATATCCAGATGAATACTACTTAGTTGATGGAGCAAGTAACATTAAGGAAGTACAGCTTCAACTGCAGTTCACTTCAGAGCTTTTAAGTCTGAATGATGTTGATGAGATGATTTTCTTTCACCACAGCAAAGAGCACAGACGTGCCCAGACACAGTGACCAGCAGTGCTACAAAGGTGTGCTGTCTCTCATACATACATGAACGGGGAATGGCTGCCACAGCACGTGGAGACAACACAAAGCACCATCCCGGGGAACGGACAACAGGGCTCAGAGCAGCTTGACACAACATTCTGAGATGCCTTCTGCAAATCAAGGATATCTGCAAGTTAAAAGGGAGGAAGGGGGAAAACTGGTTAAACATCAGTGACTTTCCATCTATATTTCTCTCTTCACCCACTCCCCCACTCCAACTCATCTTTGTCCTGTACAGTCTTAGTACCATTTCCTTGTGTCTCCTCTCCATTTGGCAGAATTTGCTTACAGACTGTGGCACAGAAGAACTGAAGGCCCCTGTTCCCTACCTGCTGCCAGAAGATCATTATAAAGGTAAAGAAAAAAACACGGTTCCCCAAGAAGGGAAAACACTATTACTGAATGTACCTACAATGCATAAAAGTCCTAATTTTGTCCACAGAGAAGCCTGGAAGAAAAAAGAAAAAAAAAACACAGAGAGAGGTTGCATCATCCAAACTTCTCTGCACATCCCACAATAGAGCATCTCCTACACTTGTCATGAACCTCAGCCCTATTTAATACAGGAAATATGCTTGTTTGCTTTTCCTTGAATGCTATCAAATTACAAGATGTTATCCATGACTGCAAGTAAGGACACGAATTTCCAAGGTACTTGACATTAGTCTCCCTTGACTGAAACTGTAAACACTCAGCATTCTTCTAGTTCTAAAATTCACTAGAGCAAGTACACAGCAAACAAGGGATAGAGAGTCAGCAATTTCCTATGACAGCTCCAGTTGAAGTAACACATCTACTATCACAAAGGAACCAAAGAAGATTAACAAGCATCCAGTTCTCCCAGACAATATTGAAGCTGTGAAACCTACCCTTCCCCTTTTACAAAATTTCGCTTCCTTTACTTGCTTTCAATCCATTTCTCTGCACCATTGGAATAAAGCAAACACCACTGCACAAGCCATGGGACAGAGAAGGTATTGAAAAGAGGGCACAGAGGTCTTATAGTAACTGCACTGGAAGGCTGCTATTACAAATACCAGGACAATTATAGCACTGCCAGTTCTGGCACATGTGTACATGAACATTATCCTGCATCAGCATATTGCCATTATCCCTCATTATAATCCTTACAAAAATCTACAGCTCTACATTAGACAAGGCAGCCACCAGCAGATAATGGTTCTCTAGCCTAGTAAAGCTGACACTGCATGCCATTTTAACAATATTAATCTGCAATGTCCCTCCAGTTCTGCATTTCCAATATAGACCTCTGCCAGGATGAGGCAAAGGACTCTGAGCAGATGATGAAACCAAGCAAGTACTCAGTTTTCTCCTCATAACAGGGAAAAGCTCTTCAAGGAGCCGGGCAACAGTCCTAACTAGACATTCCCCCTCTGAGCCCTTACCAGGCACCTCACGTGTCTGCCTCTGGGGCTGCACAATTCTCACCATCCATAGGTGGTCTGGCTGTTCCAGCCTTCCACCCTGAAGTTCACCTTCACACCTACTATCAGACAACAGGATCTTCCTTGTGTCTCAGAGGGATGCTCAAAGTCCTGACAACCAGAGCTGGCAAACAACGGGTCCTTTATCCAGAACCCCTTCCACCACAAGTATCCTGAGTGGGAGAACCACCACTCCAACTACAGGGCTGCTGGCAACTAAGAGCAACCCTGTCCTGGGAGGCTGTCTCCAGTTTCCCTTTGCCAGAGACAGCTTTGCTGAAGGGGAGCGGACAGTGAAGGGTGAGAAGTGTCAGATACATGGATCTTTGGAAGGAAAAAGATTAGGAAAAAAAAGCATGTTTTTGAAACTTGTGAGAAAAGGCAAGGAGAACAAGTTAACAAGAAAACAGAAAGTTTAAAGCAGCAGCAGACAACAAGAAAATGAAAAGAGATATGTGAACGGGAAATGATGCTGCCAGAAAGCACAGACAGAGCACAAGGTATGCTGTAAGCCACAAGCTTTCTTTAAAGGCCAGTCCAACTCCTTTCTCTCCTCTCACTCAATCAAGTTCTTAAAGCTAATTTCAATCTTCATTTTCCATTCCACTCACATTTCCACCATTTTCATACCTGGAATGGTTCTGGTCTTCAGTAACAAACTAAAAAAGTTACATAATTAAAAACAGAATACAAAAAATAATAAAATACTTCTGCTTTACTTAGAGGGAGCAATAGAAAGAAATGCAAAATGCATTATTCAGGTATTTCCCCTAGCATCAGCCTAAATTTTTTTTTTCATCACCAGAAAACCCTACTACTTCCAAACTAGCCTCTGAACATGACCTTTAAAAAATATCATTTTCCCATTATCTCTTTAAATGATGAAAGTTGTCCTCATATTGTTGCTAATAGAAAGCAATACTATTGGCTAGTTTTCATATACTTTTATCTTCATAACAGCTGTTAAATAGCACAGTACATTTATTCTGTTCCAGATCACCGTACATAGACTTAGTCACCTTCCAAAGCAATCAGAGATCTGAAATCCTAAAACTGGTGCCTTAAACACCAACAATCTATAACACTTTTTTCAGTCTGTTGGCCGCAGACCTGTAAGATGTCCATAAGTATCTGCTGTGAGTTGATTAAAATAAACTAAATAAACTTTTCTCACAGTTTTATATATAAAGGCAAACGTCTCAGTGTTAGGACATTCCACAAGTGAAAAAAATCTGGAAACCAAACTGACAGAAAGAGCTATTCTGTGCTATACTTAAGCAACGAAGTAGAGACAAATCAAGTTCCAAGGAAATGCACACAACTGCCAGGTGGTCTTTACCACAATACAAGCAAGTCCTCTGTGACATGCAGAGGCTTTTGCTATTTAAACCGCTTCATCACCTTACCAACTAAAATTTTTGCAAAGGGGAAAAAACCCCAAAACTCATCTGCGGTTCTGCGTGTAAACTTAAACCCCAGAAACCTTCCCAGAGGGTTCTTCTGAACTCTTCCCAGTTCAGAAGAGCCGACTAAAATAAAGGAATCCTTCAAACAAGTGGTGTTTCGAGCAGCTCCGCCGGGTTCTGCAGCAGTTCCACGCACAGGGAAGAGGCGGCTCAGAGCAGTGAGTGCCACGCGGCTCCTCCTGCCCAGAAGGATCCCGGCGGGGCCGCCCCGTGTCCCGGCCCCGGAGCCTTCCCGAGAGCCCCCGGGGAGCTCGGTGCTGCTCCGCTGTGCCAGCCCGGCTCTGTCAACCGGGGCCGGAGCAAAACCGTGGCTGTACAGCAGCAGCAGCACCGGCGGCAGGGCCGGGCCCTCGGCTGCGTCCCTGCCGGGGGGAGGAAACCTCGGGGCCGCGCGGCTCTCCCGGGGCGCTCGGGCCCGCGAACCGCAGCGGCCGAGAACCCCCGAGGACCTCCGGGGACCTCCCGAGGGCCTCCGCGACCCCCCGCCCCCCCCGCGCCGCGCCCGCTCCGCACCCGCCGCCTCCCGACGCGGCTCTCGCGGAGCGGCGCCCGCGCACGGGCGAGCCGCGCGGCCTCGGGCCCGCCCTCTGTGCCACCGCAGCCAATCCGCGGGCCCCGCTCACCCGCCGCAGCCAATCCGGGAGCCCCCCTGTGCCAGCACAGCCAATCCGCGGGCCCCGCCGTGCCGCCGTCCCGCAGATGATGTAACTCCGTTCCACGTTGCAGCACAAAATCCTGGGCTTTACACGTTACAGCGTTAACAGACGGTTTGTCTGGTCCCGGACTAGTCCAGACAGCCCTACCCACGGCACGAGCTGCTGAGCCATCTCCCGCAGCCTCCTTCACCTGGACTCGCCCTGTTCTCACATGTCTGCAGACAGCAGATGAAAGGGCTGTGCAGCCACACTTGTGAGAGTGGCTTTAGCTCCTTAGGCCATTTATATCCTTTCTTTTCTCCACTGTAACACAAACCCCTCCACAAGGGCAAGAGTGCTGGCTTTGGTCTTCACTTTACCTCACATTATCCCCTTTGCATTCACTTCTAAATTAAGATGATCATAGAATCATTTAGAACCCTAGAATCTCCTGAGCTGGAAGGGACCCACAGGGACCATTAGGCCAACTCATGGCCCTGCCCAGGACACCCCAACAATCCCACCCTGTCCCTGAGAGCGTTGTCCAAACGCTCCTTGAGCTCTGGCAGCCTTGGGACCGTAACCACTGCCCTGGGGAGCCTGTTCAGTGCCCCATCACCCTCTGGGGGAAGAGCCTTTTCCTGAGATTCAGCCTAAACCTGCCCTGTCACAGCTCCAGCTGTTCCCTCAGGCCCTACCACTGCTCACAGGGAGCAGAGTCGGAGCTGCCCCTTGAGAGGAAGCTGCAGACACCGGTGAGCTCTGCCCTCAGAGCTTTCCTCATATCAAGGCTATTTCATATATACAATCATCTCCATTGCTCTTCCTCCACCTCCCCAATTAGCCCAGAGTACAGCATATAAAATATGCTGTACAGAACTGCACAGAGTACTCAAATTTGGACAAAGCAAGGATTTATATAGTGGCATAATATATTTTTTTATTCTGCATTCATTCCTTAAGTGATAATTTCTACCATTCTATTTGCTTTTTGACTTTCACTACATCTTCAGCTGACTTTTCAGAGTATCATGCACAGTGATCCTCAGGTGTTTTTTTCCTTGGATGCTGCAGAAAAACATATTCCTACTAACACAACATGCAACAAGAGCAGCTGAAAAATTACTGAAGCTAAGCCTGAAAGATGCTCACTTTGCTATTGAACATGATTTTTATAACAATCCAGTAGAGAGTAGCTTAGAAGAGCAAGGGAATACAGCAAACACAGAAATCAGTAAAGCATTTTACACAACAAAAAATATTCACTGACACAAATATGGAAAAGGTAATGTAGTTTCTGAAGTCACTAAACATAAATACTTTACTAGAGAACAGGGAAGAAGAAAACTTTATTTTAACCCTTTGTAATTGCTTCTCTCAGTGTCCTCGAGCAAATCTGGGAAGACAAAGAAAGTAAACACTTTCAAGTATCTGTCAATTTTAGAGTAGAGAGTCAGCTCAGGCATAAGCATTTATGGAAATATTTGAGATATTATTCATTTAAGAAAATAAAACTCTTCCTGACTTCACAGTACAGAGTTGCCAAAGGCTTTTGGTAAACCTTGTAAGCTTTGCTCATTAAGTCTCCTTTATCTACAGTTTTATTACTTTTTTCAGAGGGCTGTCAGGTTACTTAAAAAACCTTCTAATCTGATCCTGTTCTGTCTACTGTGAAGAAACACTATGTGAAGAACACAGGCTTATCACCAAGTCAGGTCAAAACCTAGGTAGTGACTCTGAGGTGTCAGGCAAGCGTCAGGTGGATTTAAATGTTTTCTTCGGGCATGGAGAAATGTTGTAAGTACCCACAAGAGACCACCAGCAGGAAAACCTCCAGAACAGCAGCTCTGCTCTCACAGGGCCCCAGGGGGTGGAGGCCCGTGCAGCTCCAACCAGCCCGTCTGGTGCTCGCAGGGGACCGAACCGCGATTTCCCGGGACCGCCGTCAGACCGGACCGCGAGTCCGAGCGGCTCCGGGGAGCCTGCGGGGTCCGGGAGAGCGGGGGTGAAGGTGCCGCCCGGCAGCGCCAAGGCTGAGACCCTCCTCCTCTCCTGTCCTCTCATCCCTCGGCCGGGAAGGGCCCCGCGCGGGAGGGAACGGGCAGCACCGACGGACGGTGGGCACGGCCGAGGCTGCTCGGCCCGGCCCGGCTCTGCTCGGCTCTACTCACCGCCCGGTTCTCCCCGGCCCGGCTGGGTTTCACTCGGCCCGGCTCCCCTCAGCCTCAGCCGCCGCCGCCTCACGTCGCTTCCGGCCCCGCCCGCGGGCTCTGTAGCTGCCCCTCCTTTGAAACCCAAAATTGCATCTTCCAGGAATCGATGGTCAGGCTTGGAGAGGGACCTTAAAGATCATCTAGTAGAGATCGTCTTCACTCGGACAGAGTAAAACCAGACCTACTGCCCCAAAAATGGCACGCTGGACAGGTGGCTCCAGATACAGTGCAGGCAGCAGGGACATTCCACAGCGCTGTCCCAGCCCTTCGCAGGGAGTACAAACACTGTGCATCTGACACACGAGCCTGCCTGGTGTGTGCCACTGACATACCGTGCCTGATACTGGATTGCAAAGGAGGCTACTTAAGATGAGGCAGTGGGGAAAAAACCATGACAAACACTAAAATACACTGTCATAGGAAACTGCAGATTCTAAATGCACATCCATTGCTATGGCATGGCTAGAATTTGTACAGGCCTTAATTCAGGTTAGAACAGGTTATGGGCAAGGCTCCTTCCAGCTCCATTTCTTGCAAAGACAAAATGTCAGAGCAGCCAAACGTAATCTAGAAAATACAACATGTTGGAAGTTGAGGGATGGCAGAGAATTACAGTATAAGGTGATGCATTCTTACTTCATGTATTTGCAGTTCATAGATAAACAGTATCTCTGTAGTCACACTTAACTGATTTATCTCAATAATGCAGAAAATAGGGATGCCAGATCCTTTTCATTCAAGCTATATCCTGACACACTTGGCAATTTGACTTTTGGGAAGTTTCAGTTACTGTCACCTGCAAATTTTCTGGATTCCACAGATCAGAGGCATCAGAGGACACAGGACACACCACAGATGTGTTCCACTAAAAGCTCTGCAAAGGCACAGCTGAGAAGCCACATCTACCTAAAAATCCAAGCTTGTTGCTGTACTGGTACCAGCAGCCCCGTGTAACACTGGAACACAAAGTGTTCAGAGCAGCCTGCACAGCCTGCCCCAGAATCAGAATCCCTGGAAGCAGCAGACACTTGCACGGAATTCTTTCCCAGCTAATAAACCATGCAAACACTCACAAAGGTAAATACATGAAGTTACCCCAAAATCTGCATGTTTGGTTTTGTTTAATTTGTGTTATGTCCCTTGATACCCTGACTAATTACAAGTTTTTCAGTTTATTTTTGCACCCTTTTTTAAAGTTTGTAATGAGGGAGAGCAACAAAGTTGCTACACACAGTATATGTACAAAAGCAACAAATATATTTTATTAACAGTAGGCTCTGATCTTCTTGCCCCCTATTGATTCCACTGGAGTACTTGGCATTGTATGGGGCAGATTTTTCCATCATCTGAAGAATATAAGATAAAAAATAAATCCTTTGTTAAAAAATATACTTTCATCCAACAACTTCCTGGAACATATTCTGAATGTACCAATTCACTTACTGAACTTTAAGTACAGGCCTTATCTATTTTCAAAAGCAGAGAATACTAGACATTATTAGAATAAACAAAAAATAGCCAGCCAGATCAACTCTGTAACTGCTTTCTAAATTCAGTGCCACCCTGAATGGGAAAAAGATGTCAAATGGGAGTTTCCAGTGCCTTTGGGGCTGGCCCCGGGGTGGTTCTGGCCAGCCTGTCATGTCAGTGAAGGTAACGACAGTCGTCACAGGTACCGTGTGTGCCCTCAGGAACTGCAACAAGAGGGAAAGCACAGTTTAGCAGACAATGCAAAATATATATGCCCCCTCAATTTTCCAATGGACACCCACCACAGATGACTGGCAAGCAAGATGTCTTTATAATGGTAGGAGTTAAGTGTCCTAAGTTTTCAGTGGAGTAAACCCTCTTTCCCCGAATTGGTACTTTGCAGGTAAATTGAGGGCACAGGAAAGACCAGTAGCTACTGTGCATCATATGCTACAGATCTCCAAAGTGGCAGCAGTGACTCAAGCTTTGCTAGAGTAAGCCTTCTATTCAGAGGACAGACATATCAGCTAGCTAGTAATAAGAACAGAAGCAAAGCTAGCTTTATTTTTTATAAAATTATAAACTTTATGTAAGATAAGATCACCTGGCTCTTTGGACAAGTGTTTGCTGCCAGAAACAGACAGAACCACAAGATGAAATCCTTTCAATAAAATGTCAATAAAGTAAAGCAGGGACCCAATAAAACAATAAATTTATTTCAATAAATTTATTTCTCACTTTTTTTTTCCTTCTTTTTTTCTCTTCTTTTTCTTTTTTTTTTCAGCTGTGTTGGAAGGGACCTCTGAGATCATCAAGTCCAACCCTTGATCCACTACCACTGTGGTTACTAGACCATGGCACTAAGTGTCACATCCAGTCACATCTTAAAAACCTTCAGGGATGGAGAATCCACCACTTCCCTGGGCAGCCCATTCCAATGCCTGATTACCCTCTCTGGAAAGAATTTCTTCCTAATATCTAACCTAAACTTCCCCTGGCAGAGCTTAAAACCATGCCCTCTTGTCTTGCTGAGAAGGGAGCTCTTCAACTAGACCAGGTTGTTCAGAGCTCCATCCAACCTGGCCTTGAGTGCCTCCTTCTGGCTTACAGCCTTCCTCCTTAATTCTTCAAATCTGCTGCCATCAGCATTAGTCTCCTCCTCAGCTACCTGGTGATTTCAGAACCTCTAGAGGAACAGAAATGTCTTCTTACACAGATTATCAGCAAGCTGTGGGGTCCGTGAAACATAAATCAACTCAAATTCCGTATCAAGGCTTTAAGAGACAACCAGATAAACACGGAGTAACTGAATCTTTGTAAATACAACTTTATACTGAGCATAAGTTTAAAGTTTGAGTCCTTAAGTGGCAGAAGGTGCTTTGGAGTTGGAAAGAAGGTACCTTTTCCAGTTGTGCAACTGCGTGAGGACAGTACTAAGCAGATCTCAAAACAATTTTTTATCTATGGAGCTGTTAAATAACAACTCTTGCCATTGCAGCCAGACCACTGCTAAAGTTCAATGAATCTCAACTTAGTTTCAAGACCATTTGATTCCTTGGTTCTTAAGCAACCTGTAAATCCCATTTAATTACCTCTGTGTGTGAGGGAGGGGTTTTAATTACATACCTTCAGGGGTTGACACTGGTAAAAGTACCGTGCACCCAGTATTTGAGCTTGTGGGTTGGACAGGAGGCCCACTTTAGCCCACAGTATCTGTATCTCCAGGGTCACAGGAACCATGCAACAGGAAGTGCAATTCACAGCCTGAAAATAAAATATACTCCTATCAACTTAATATAGTATTTTAAAAGTGAAAAAGGACCATTATGGTCCAAGTCTAATATTTTGGATAGCATAGGTCACTTCAGCACTAACTCTCTAACTTCTAGTCAGGTCAACCACCCCTTTTGGAGCTATATCCATCTCACTTTCAAACAGAATTTGTCTCAGCTGTACTATTTGGATTTTGCATTCCATTAGGCCACCTGACAGATTAATAATTATTAATATACAAGCACTTTGGTTGCAAACTTTTAACCTTATTAGGTGATATATAAATATCCCTAGAAAATGGAAAATCAGAAATATCAAATTAATAGCAAGTAACCAGGTGCTATTAGTTCTAGAAGGCTGTCAGAAAACTATGTAATACAACACTGGATTCAGTATTAAACCCTTTTGGCCCACTTAGATAGCAGGAACAGGATTCAGGAAATATGAAATCTGTCAGGGTTTGTTGGGTTTTCTTTTGGTAACTACTCTAACAGTATGAACCACAACTGCTTACAGGTATTAAGACTCCTAAGAGTCAGAGGATCATCATACAAAGAAAGTCCAGATGCCCACGCTTCCCTGAGGCAATACAAAGATATGAAAGGAAAAAATATTCACAGCTGGTCTTCTTGCATTCATATTACCTGCACACTGCAGTTCTGAACCAGAATGGTCGTCCACTCTTCTGTCTGGGTTGAATGAGCACTGCCAGTTATAGCAAGGTCCTCTGCTCTGTTCATCCCCTGAAAAGCCTTGTAAAACTTCTGCTGGATGTAACTACAGTTACTCTCTTCCAGTAATGGGGATAGGCTAGAAATGAGAAAATAACAGCGTGACAAAGTGATTTCCAGGACAAAAATCCCACTATCAACATCCTGCCTTTGTAATGAGTATTTCTTCTGCTCCTGTGATGAGTCAAGAAGTATTGGTATTAAACAGATGCAATCGTCTCTGCAATGAGAAGGGAGAAAAATACGGCAGGGGAATGCATGATAAGGAAAACTGCCAGCTCTTCAGCCATCTTATCACACCAGTGGTTCTACACCCGCCCTGTCAAAAGAACAATCCAAATCATCAAAACAATCACTTTTAAAGATTCCTTTGTAATTCACTCCTCAAATATAAACTCTAGTCTTGTCCAAGACGTATTGTCAGACTACAGCCTCATGATGTCCCAGAAGGCCTTCACAATGTTCAGGTTATTCTAGTGGTCCCCCATCTCTCTGATATCCAAGTTCTCTTAGGAGGATATGAAAGATCTGTAGAGGCCCATTGGTGACCTCAGGGAAGGACCCTGGCTCCACAGCACTGCAGAGTGCTAAGTGAGTCCACACCTTCCAGCTGTGTCAGGAAGGACAACTGCAGAGTGTGTTGTTACCTGAGGTTGCAGCCTGTTCTCATGTTCCTTCCAAATTGTACCGTGTGTCTGAGGAACTGTGAGCAACCTCCATCACTTTCACTCCGTAAAATACTCATCTGACAGACTGCACGTCAAGAAGCCAAATAAAAGCATAAACAGACAGTATTGAACACTCATCTTGTATTTAACAAGCCACTCACCCCACACTCCTCCTTTTCCCTATCAGAGGACTACAAAAGTCCAGATGAGGGAGTACCAGAAGTCAAGAAACCCAGTGATAAATAAAAACTGGTAGCAGAAAAAGGATACATGCTGCATGGCACCACTGTTTGCAATCAGCAATGGTGCTCCAGTGATATAGCCAGGGTTTCCACTTCTGGGCAACATATGAGAGAGGGTCTTGGTCTACAAAGATGCAAAGGGAAGAAATAGAAGAAGGGGGAAATATTGGCATCAATGAGATCGATTAATCTCTGAAGATCAAATTCATATTCTCAAAAATATAAATGTAAGCCATTTTTTGAGTGACTGAATATTATGCACTATTAAAACTCCCATTATTTGTTTCCAAAGTCTCTTTCTTACTTGGAAAAGTTCACTTGCAGTCCAGGAGGTAAAAAACTAAGTGTCAGTACCTGAAATGTGGATACTACCAGGAAAGCTCTCAGGACAATGAATTCCTATTGCTCAGCATTTGTGTCTGAGGAAGTGAACAAATCAGTCTGGGCAATTCTACAGATGAACTGCAGAACAAACCCTACCTTGACCCTGATTCTTAGTGGCACATTCCACTTCTAAATTGTTTTATGGTGAGAGCCTCTGGGGCTAACTTCAACAAGGTTGCACTGCACACTTATCAACCCCTGAGGTCATCACTTACCCAACTTTACATTGCCTCTATGGGACAAGATTTATGTGAACTTAACACACATCAGTATTTCCAAGATTTCCACCCCCCCCAAAGTAACTCTCTTTCCTGCTGCACAGGCAAAGTTAAATAAGTACCTGGAATAAATTTAGCAACTTTGCTCACAAACACTGAACACCTCAGATAAAGCAATAGCTTCAACCCTTTCCTTCAAAAGACCATGCTGGTGACTCCACTTCCCTTCCACCCCAAAAAAAAACCCCCAAAACACCCAAACCAAAACAATAGCAAAAATAATCAGATAAAAACAATCAGCCCCTTGAAATTTGTGCAATGCAGGACTGCATGCTTGCACTGAGCCTGAATTTTTCTACTAGCATGGTTTACTTGAGACCAGAAATGCATCCCCTCCTGCCTTCAACTACCATCTGCATCCCAGGGTTCTGTTACTACTCTACCACAGTGACACTGCTCAAATCTTTTCAGATCTCATCTGTATCAAAATGGGTCACAAACAACAGACTACAAGCTTGGTAAAAGCCCAGGGAGGATGGGGGCACTGACCCAGAAGTGCAAAGTGAAGTGCTGCTGCAGAGAGGATCCGAGGTTCCCAGAGATGTTGCTCACTTTGAACTGGACAGAAACACTCTGAATCCCACTGGTGCCACTGTATTCTATCTCATAGATCACCTGAAAGTCCAATTCAGAGGAAAATCAGAGACAGAGAAAGGCAATAACTTTGTGTGCACAAAGGAAAGGAGATTCACGTACCTCAGAAACCACATTGGTACATGTGTTGTCTCTCATGTGGGGAGCTCCAGGTGGTGCAACTGCAGTGACATTTACCTGGAGACACGAAGCACACGAACAATTATTAATTGTTTAAAAGGAGTGTGCATTCTTTACTCTTTTCCACTGCTTTTCCATCCAAGCCAGATTTACCTTCTTGCTGTAGCTGTGATCTGTGGGCACACTACCCTGCTCCAGATGCCCAATTTTTTTCCAAGAAAACAAGCTCCTTCCCTGACTTTAGCCCTATCTGTGCCCATTCATTTAAAAGTACATCCTTCCTTATATCCCTGGTTTTTTCTATAATGTCACACTTTTGTCAAAAAAAAAAAACTTGTCTCAGGCACAGCACATTCCCATTCTCCCAAGTTCCCAACCTATGGATTCATTAACATGAATGCTTAAGATTTCAAGTATGTTTTATTTCAGAAGTAGAAATTATTTTCATTGGAGACAGAGACTGACCTTCATGGACTGCACAATGGTGCCACTAACTGGGACCTGGGAAAAATAAACAAACCATTATATAACACCAAAAAACCCCCAAGTAAATTTCTGTGTTTGCAAGTGCCTAAAGTCATGAAATCATCACTAAACAGAACCTACATATTATACTGACAAAATTACTTGGTTTATTCCAGATGTGTAAAACTTGTCATCATTTTGTGATCTATAAATCACAGACTTAATCCACAAAATTCATTTTAGAACATCAGAAGACAAATTTAATCTTGGTCTTGCTAATGTCCTGCGAAATGCAGATACTTGGAAGTATCATATCTCTGATCCATTCCTGGAACTCCTTCTTCTGCCATCAAGTAATTACTTCAGCTTCCAGTTAAGGAAAAACTGAATTTTGGCCACAATGACAAAGAAAGCCCTGAAAACATGAGTTAAATCTGATCAATAGAATACTCTCTACTACAGTTATGCTGATTTACATTTCCAATATAAGGGGGAACAGCGTCATCAGCCTTAGTAAGGTGTTCATATTTACAATGTTGTTTTCTCATGGAACACCAGAGAAACTCTAGAAGGCAAGAGGAGATATTTTCATATAAACATTCAGTAAGACCAGCACGATGAATGCAGAATAGTAAATCCATTACTTTGAAATTAAATCAAAATAAATAGTGGAGAAACTGATATGGAATTCAACCTATGACTGTAAACAGAGCTAATATTGGTAAGTGGCCTTCCATATGATTTTAGAGGTAACATATTGTGTAAAACAAATCCTCATTCTTTACTGAGTACATGCACTACTTGGTTGATCAAGCTGATGGAACAGAAAGGAATACTTTGAAAAAGTCTGTTTAAAATGCAAGAGAGTCTATATAAACCATTAAAACTATGAAGTATCAGTGAAGCACCTGTTAAACCCATTAATAATCTGCTAATAACTGAAATTTACTTGAAAGTAGTTTGAAGGATTATCACCAATCACAATAGTTTTAGCAGGTGTCCCAGCAAGAAGGCCTCAACAACTGGGAGATCAGGGATGGCACACTAGATGACCTTCAGTTTTCCAGTTAGCTGAAGTCGCAGAGGAAAGCAATGCAAAGTCAAGCAACCACGATTTTGCACAAAAGCAAGACATCTGACATGCACCTTCAGCACAGTGAAATCCCGGTAGTAAGAGGCAGCATCGAGGGCAGGGTCAGTCATGCAGCTCTTGCTCAAATTGGCAAAAATCCGAGTACAGCTTGTACTTTTACTGTCCAGGAAGCCTGAGTTAAGACATGACAACAGATCAAACAGAAGCAAATCACCCTAAGATATTCCTCCCCCTTTACTAACCAGCAGGATTTCCATCAACACAAAGTCCACTGGCTCCCATTTTTACTGGCTGTCTAAGCGTGCTCAGTACAGATGATGAATCAAAGTAGATTAGGATTGGATCACCAGCCTGAAAAGACAGTTTGGAGAATCACAATTACTGAGGAACACAAGGTGATGTCATCATCAGGGCAGAGAGACAAATCTATACCTCTTCTTTGTGTACACTCAGCTTTGTCTAAAAGGTTGTCCAACCTTTTAAATACAAAAAAACTCATCAGGAACTTTCTATACACTAATAAATGAAAAGAACTGAGAAACAAACACTTTAACAGTGTGCTCTGGTAGCCAGAGCACCTCTGTCTTGGGGTGCATCAGGCTCAGCATCATCAGCTGGTTGAGAGAGGGAATTGTCCTGCTCTGCTCTGGGGTGGCCTCACCTGGAGCCCTGAGGGCAGTTTTGGGCACCACATCATAAGATCTAAAGCTACTGGAGAGCATCCAAAGGAGGGCAATGAAGATGGTGAAGGGCCTGGAAGGGAAACCATATGAGCAGCAGCTGAGGGCACTTGGTCTGCTCAGCCTGGAGGACACTGAGGTCAGACCTCATCGGGGTCTGCAGCTTCCTCACAAAGAGCAGCAGGAGGGCAGTACCAATCTCTGCTCCCTGTGAGCAGTGACAAGACCCAAAGGAATGGCTGGAGCTTTGCCAGTGGAGGGTCAGGTTGGATCTCAGGAAAAGGTTCTTCCCCCAGAGGGTGGTGGGGCACTGAGCAGGTTCCCCAGGGCAGTGGTCACGGCCCCAAGACTGCCAGAGCTCAAGGAGCATTTGGACAACGCTCTCAGGGAAAGGGTGGGATTGTTCGGGTGCACTGGGCAGGACCAGGAGTTGGACTGGATGATCCTTGTGGCTCCCTTCCAACTCAGGATACGCTACAATTCTGTGATAATATGGATTACAGGTACAAAAGTAAGACTCTTTCAATCTGTTGTCATTAGATCTCATCAGACAGCTCTAGTAGAAGTGTATGTACAAACTGATTATGATTTCAACTCACGCGGTAAAAAGCAGAGAATGATGGTTGGACTTGTGATGGTGCTGTGAAAGAGTGTCTGCCATACTTCTCTAAGAACTTCATAAAATCAGATTCTTTGATATCCTGGGGCTGTTGGAAATAGTTCAGCTTTGCTAGAGTTTGAAAGGAGAAAAAAAAGAAATCTGCCAATATCAAATTACTAGAAAAGATAAAAGTAAATATTGTGCCAACATTTTTAAAAGGAACAGCTTCAGTAATTATAAGCTAGATGGTGCCTTATATTAATTAACCCAACTTAACACTTCCAACAGGCTAATATGGTCTAGGAATAGGATGACATCCTGAGTAGTTTGTACTGTTCATGATTAAGAGATGTTAATACACGAAGTGACTTTCCAGAAAGCATGAAAACTGCTTTACAACTATTCTAACATGTGCTGTCATTTCTGTGAGATACCCCAATTAGACATACATGACATTTTAATTACAAAGCACTACCAATTTATGAGATCATTAAAAGCGACATTAAATGGATTCAAAATAATTAAGGTTGGTAAAACTCAAAAGTAAGTATAAATAGACAATAGGCATCCTAAAAAACAGACTTTTGAATGGTCTTCCACAGTGATTCCCTCTTGACCCAGTGGTATTCAACAGTATGGTTACAATGCTGTAATGTATTAAATTATTGTTGCTAAAACACTGTTATAAAGTGGCAAATTATTAAAGATGTGCTATGCAGACTCATCAATATGTTTGTTTGAACAACAAACTTTTCAATACATCCAAATAAAACATCTTACAAGGTTCGAGGACCACAGATCCTACCGACAACAGGACAAGTGTCAGTATTCTCAATTACAGTAGTACCAAAAAGAATTTAAGTAATCTAGTAGGTTTGGAGAAAAAAACCATACATTAAAAAAACCACCAAACAAGCTTTCAGTGTAATTCTGCTGTTTAAGGGCAGAGCAGATGCTCAGAGGAACAGTGGAGCAAGCAGAAACATAAGCTTTTGAATACAGCGTTAATCAAGCAGTCAAGTAAACCTTTGAAGGAGACAAAAGTCAAAGCAATATTAAGCTCCTCCAAGGTTCACAAAAGTAGGTGCACAGAGTACCTTGCTTAATAATCACTTGAGGGTATAATCATTAAACTGAAAAAGAAAACACTTGTAGTTGTGCTCTGAATGTACCCAAAACATTCAGGCAGCATCTGTAAAGAGCTGAGAAGCAGGACTAGATAGTATGAAACTAACCCTGTTCTGACTAATTGTTGTACCTGTTAACCTCCTGAGCCCCACCCAACCTAAAATGCTCATGGATTTAGGTCAGAAGTAGCTGGGACTGTGGGTCAAAACTCCCAGAAAATGACTCAAAAGAGAAAACGGTGTGTTCAAATGTGAGACCCTACTGAACAGCAATAGATGCCAGAGAGTTGGACATCAAATCAGTCAAATGAAATACAATGTGGAAAAGAGGAAAACAGTGTTAATGGCATATCCTAAGAGAGTATATGATTACCAGTAAAAAATCATTGCCAGATGAGAAGATGAAAATAAGCACGTATAATAATGAATACAAAATACAGAAAATCACTCTCTGAAAAGGATAACAGTGGGATATTTCAAACATCCTTACTTGCTGCTCTAAGTGTAGCAAACTGAGTAAAGTATCTCAGATACACAAGCAATTGATAAAGGCTGATTTGTGCTTAGCCAGAAACCCTGCCCTTACATGGAGTGCAATCATCTTTGTGCTTGTCTTTGGTGATCAGACCCCGATTCGTTATGCTCCCTCTGGAACAGCCAAAATAATCAGTAACAATTATAACATATCAGTTTAAAAAAAAAAAAGATTCCCTAAGCAGAGGCAATCTGTGAACGAATGATGTATGAAGGAAGGTTACTTACAGTCATTCAGCTGCACACAGAACAGATCGTGTCCACCAGGGACAGCAATGATGTCTGTAGGATAAGGGGTGTTACTTCTGAAAATGAGTGACTTTTCCACACACACTTGACTTACAGACCTGCAAAGACAAGCCCCCCACACTCAGTAAACTGTTAAATAGGCTATTCTTGCAAGATTTCCTATTTTATATTAATGCCAGCAACAGAACACAGTATTACAGTATTAGATGTGCTGTTGTACAATCTGCACTGATAATCAATTACAGAAAGCCTCTCTTGTCATTGCAGTAACTTTGTGGAGCCTCTCTATTACTATATTCAAAAATCACTCTGAAAGTCCCTGGACGAAAAAGTGGTAAAAAATTTCAGTGTCCATGTATGACAGCTGCTCTCGGTTCTCATCCCAAGTGCAATCTGCGAAGACAGATTTTACTCTGCAATAGCCGAAAGCATTCTCCTCACTGACGGAATCTCGCCGTCTGTACTCGCTGGACTGTCTCCCCATCGTACAATGCTCCTTTTACTACGACCGGACCTCCCCGTTCCCACCGCCAGCGGCCTCATCGCGGGGTAACCGAGCCGCGCTCCTCCTGGGCCGTCGCGGTGCCGGCCCCGGGTGTCCTCTCGCAGCCCCCGGCCCAGCGCTGCGCGGTGCCGGTGCCCCGCGGCCGCGGCTCTCAGCGCAGCGAAGCCCGGGCAGCTGAGCCGCAGCTCCCGCCGGGGCCCGGGCCCGGTGTCCCGGGAGGCGCCTCAGCGGCGGGTGCCCGTCCCCTGCCCACCTGCTGCGGCCCGGAGCGGCGGGCCGTGCCCGCGGGGGCGCGGACGGGCAGCAGGGCCAGCGGGGCCAGCAGGGCCAGCAGCGCCCCGGCCCGCGCATCGCCGCGCCACGGCCGCGATGAGACACCGCGCATGCGCGGCCGGACCGGGCCGGGCCCCACTGCGGGAGGAGCCCCCGCAGCCACTCGGCTTGTCCCAGACGCGGGGCTTTAGGGCAGTAAAAATGAAATACAGGCTGTCACACAGCTCGTTTGAGCGCAACCACGTCAGTCAGCCCACCCTGAAGCATGGATTCATGGCATTACGTTAGTATGCAGCTTGGGAGTGGAGGGAATGTGTGTCTATCTCCACAGTCATACATAAACTCCAGGGTACGTAATGAGATGGGACAGCACCCTCAGTACAGACTGCGAAGTTGGCCCTAAGCTCCCTTACCGCAGAGCCGAAGGAAAGCAGCAACAGACGAGAAAATGCTACGGAAAATCATTTTTGTACTCTCTTACATGTTAAAAAAACACACTACAGAAAAGCCCTCTGGGAAGGACAAATTTGTAACACATGAAATGTTTGAATCTGCAAGCCATGCACGAAAGAATCAGAAAGTAATTATAATTAAAAAGGACATGAAGCAAACCAATGGTTCCTTTGACACCTCGTTACTATTCTGGTACGTATTGCCGATGAGCTTCACTCTTAGCGCCGCGAGCGCCCAGCGCCCCCAGCCGCTACCGGTGTCAACCCACGAGCCCGACCCGCGCGCCCCTCCGCGCGGGGTCCGCGACCGCCACCGGGTGTGCGGGCCGCGAAGGCTTCAGCTTCCCCGCCTGGCGGCCGGGAGCCTGCGGGCTGGCGACGGCCAGGGCGGGAGGTGCGCGCCCCTGCTGCGAGAGCGCTGCCGGATACTCGTTGGGTGGGTGCAGGGTGTTTTGTGGGAGCGCTGCCGGGACACTCGTTGTGTTGTTGGAGCGCTTGCCGGGACACTCGTGTGTGGACGCTGCGGGGATACTACTGTCTGTTTCGTGTGTGGAGCACTTGCTCGGGTGGATCACTCGTGTGTGTGGGGAGCCGGGAGTGGAGATGGCGGCCACAGGGCGAGGTAGCATTGGACAGAGGACGAGTCCGCGTCCCGGCCAGGCTCACAGGCACAGCTCACAGGCAGTCCCCTCGGCTGCCCGGGCCAGCGCTCGGAAGGGCTCCTCGGAGAGTCCCCGCTCCCGCGGGGTGCAGCCTGGGCCGGTTGCGATGGCGGAGCCGGCCGTCAGGGGGCGGCTCCGCGCCGCGGAGCGCGGCCCAGCCGGTGGAGGCGGGCGGCGGCGGCTGCACCTTGTGCCCGTCTTTAAATAAAGGAAACGTCGCGCTTTAAACGCGAAAACGGCTCGGTCCTAACTTGTTTTGTGGTTAAACTGTGTGTGTGGAGAAAGCGTTCTTTCTCCGAATGCTTTAAGCATGCTGCTTGGCTATGCAAAGAAGTGCGTGCTGTAGTGTTTTTTCTGGGAGATCTCGTATTCGTCCAGTCAAGTTCACTCCATAAACAGCTTTAAGGATTTTTGTGCCAGCAGAAATCAAACTGCTGAGTTTATGGAATTGTGAACTAGGGATTCCAAGTAATTCACTTTCTAGTGCGCTAATGTTAGTGATTCTAAATAGCAAAAGACTTATTAGTGCTTCATCTTAGGATCATGTCTGACTTTGAACAACATGTGTTTGATATTATTTTTCTTAAATATTCTTAATTTATTTCTGTGAAGGAAAGACAGGATATCACATAGCTCATTTGAATGCAATCAAGTCAGTCAATCCACCTTGAAGAATAAATTCTTTATTCCTTACATATTGCAGATGTTCAGGCTTTGAAGGATGCTTATGACTTGATCAAATCAGCCAGTGAAGGAAAATCTGCACTTGACTCAGATAACTTCAGCACCGACTTGTATGTTCTATGTGCTGAACAAGCACTTCAGGTTTGTAATTTAGACAATGTATCTGTATTGAATAAAAATATGTATATGACATACTGTATTTACAGTTGTTAAAGCTACTGCCTCAAAAACAATCCCAGAAATGCCTGAGGGAAGTATTATGCTCTTCTGGCTTTGGAGAGCAATTGTTTAAACATGCATTTTCCCTTAAAACACAGCCTCTGAATTATCACTTTTTTATAGTCAGTCATCAAACTGTGGTTTGTGAAGTTTTCAATTAGGCCAAAATATGGCAGGTATACCATAGCATATATAAAATAGTTTGCCATGCCTGTTTTTTCTTGTTATGAAAAACTTGAAGTTAGCAGTTTGGTTATGACTGAAGGAAATGTGTCTGTGAACAGACCCTACCAGCTGAAAGAAAGAAGATTCTACACCATTCTAATTATGAATCTTTTTTTTTTCCCCCAGACTGCAATCCAATCAAATTCTGTGGTCTGAAAATTGACATCCATACAAAATCCTGTCAGCTGATATCCATACTTAAAAAAAAATTCTGTTAAGAATTTTGTCTATTAATAATTGTGTTAAAAAAGAGACATTTTTTGAATACTGTAAGCAGTTATGTGACTGAGTGAGGAGTTTTGTTAAATAAGGAAACTATCTTTTCATAAAAAATGACAAAAATATGCCTTCAAATTTTAGTAAATTTTAATGGGCTTGTACCACATCCTGTACAAGTCTGCATCTTTGTGTAATATTGCTTGCATACTGGTATGTAGCTGGATGTTACCCCTTGATTAGGCATGCATTTTTAAAAGCTAACAGTTCTTAATTGTTTGTTGCATTTTTTAAATATTAAAATGCTTTTTTTTGGGTCTTAGATGGGATATCCAGAAATGAGCAGTGACTGTCTACAGATGTATTTTAAAGCAAGATTTCCTGTGAACCAGTTTCTTGGCAGAGCCTATTTGTGCCAAGGCCAGTTGCATGCTCTACACTCTACAGATAATTTGGTGAGAAATTGTAAAGGTCGCTTTATATTGAGCCAGTTTTTAGAAGTATTTATTCCTAGGTTTTAATGTATTGCTTTCAGCTGTTTTAAATACACAAGGATAATCAGAACTGTGGGAAAAATAAAAGGAAAACATATTGAGTAATTTGTGAGTAAACAAAACCAGCCAAATTAGACTAATATTTCAAATACTTTGGGGAGGGCAATAAAAAGTAATGCTTGCAAAAGTTTTCAAGCAGTTGATTGTTTTGAAGTCAACCTTTTCATTTTTTACTTAAATGTGATACTTTCAGACTGAATTTAGCTGTAACTCTTAAAGTGATTACCAGTTTTATTCAGGAAGCATTTCACAGGCTTGTGGGAACTGGAGGGCTAAAGGAGAGAGGTTGCAGAGTTACTTTCTGTGGCAGTGTGCTTCTAGAACTCATCAGTAGTGTTTCCATGTAGTACTTTGGATGTGGCTTTTTGTAGTAAGAGGTGATAGCAACTCAGCAGGATACTTCTGCATCTGTGTGTTGCTTTTAGGTGATACCATGTCCATAAGTGTTTACCTCCTGCTGATTTTAAAATGGAGTGGGATCTCTTTTATGTCTTCAGTATTTCACTTGTCCTTGTACTGTGCTCAGTTAGCTTTGATAATCTGTTAATGGTATCTGACCACTGCAAATGGCCTTAACAGATGTTTAGAATCATGGAATGTCTTGAGTGAGACAAGGACGATCCAGTCCAACTCCTGGCCCTGCACCGGACACCCCAACAATCCCACCCTGACCCTGAGAGCATTGTCCAAATGCACCTTGAGCTCTGGCAGTCTTAGGGCCATGACCATGGCACTGGGGAACCTGTTCAGTGCCCAACCACCTTCTGGGGGAAGAACCTTTTCCTGAAATCCACCCTAACCCTCCCCTGGCACAGCTCCAGCAGTTCCCTGGGTCCTGTCACTGCTCACAGGGAGCAGAGATTGGTGCTGCCCTTCTGCTGCTCTTTGTGAGGAAGCTGCAGACCCGGATGGGGTCTAACCTCAATCTCCTCCAGGCTGAGCAGACCAAGTGTCCTCAGCTGCTCCTTATATGGCTTCTCCTCCGGGCCCTTCACCATCTTTGTAGCTCGAAGTTAGTGTTGTATTCACAAGTTTCCCTTACAGATGTTGCAGTAGTTTCTTTGAATAAACTTGAATTAACTTTTGAGCTAGAATCTTTTCCCTGTCATCTATACTTTGTTTCTTCTCAGAGCACATGGGCAGAACAACTGTTCAACCATCCTTTTGAAACTTCGTGCACATTTGAAAAGTGATACACTTTGCATCAGTTGTAAAGTTTTTTCACTGCTGTGTTCTAGATAATTTATGAAAATAGGAGTGGTGCAACATCTCCTACTGTATGACTAGTAATCATGATTCACTTAGTGAAGATAAATTTGTCCTTATTTTGGTTTCCAACCCAAGCAATCCTTCTTAGTTGATTAAGATGCTTATGGTCTTAATTATAAGATGTTCTTAAATTTAAGATGTTTTTGCTCTTAGGGGCCAAGTGCAGTTTCTCTACTTTGGTATATATTTCATCTCAGGCTCTTTTTTCTGGTTTTCTCTTTATCTGTGTAGTTTCCATTTATTGGCCAGTACCCCTCTTATACCATCCCAGAGCCCAGAAAGTCAGTTCCAGCTCTCTTTGAGAGTTTAGTTACTCTCAAACTCTCAACTCCTCTGCTGTCATCCCCTTCCTGCTCACCCAGTTCCACCTCCACTTTGCCATTTCCACTGAATCTTTCTCCTAGACTTTCAAAAATCCCTGTTGACTATCTCATCCATCTTCTTTACACCCTCCCTTCAGAATTTGTGCATACTGATAAGATCT